CTGAAACTTGCCTAAAGCACTTATTCATTGTTGCTCTTAGTTGTGTAAATTGCTTCCTTGTCCTCATTTGTAAGTCGCTTTGGATAAAAGCGTCTGCTAAATGACTAAATGTAAATGTAAAGAGATAAAGAAGAGTTGATGAGGTAACATCTATTTTCTGTCTGAAGCTTTCTATTTTATCAATGAAAAAGCTCATGAAGTCATCTCTGCGGTAATATGCGATGGGAAGTTTTGTTCAAAAGACGACCGATTATTTGTTAATTTAGCAATAATATTAAATAAAAATCTAAGGTTGTTATGATTATTTTCTATTACTTTGCAGAGGTGCTCAGCCCTGGTGGATTCAAAATCCTTCCTATAGCTGGATGTACTATCTTTGTATGCAATTCTAAAATCCTCTAATTTAGTTTTTTCCACTTGTGTTCAGAAATAACGATTGTTGTACCATGGTGTGGTTTTATTTTTCTGTAGCCTTTTTAATTTGATGGGTGATACAGTATTTAATGTTAGTGAAGATAGCAACCATAATGCTAGTTGCAAAATTAAAAAGTAAATTTTTACATCAATGACTACATCAATTACTTCAATTCTGAGACAAAATTAGATCTAGTATGTGCTTTAAGTGATAGCCTTAACCAATGACATTTTGCTTTATCCCAAGTGATTGTAATACATCTGTAAACGCCTAACGAGTCCTAATGAGTCATTAGTGTCATCAATGTGGATGTTGAAGTCCCCTACAATTACTATTTTATCATTTTAACTAGTAAGTCATGTTAATGGCCATTCATTTAGAGCAAAAATTCTACTGAACGTTTCATTTCCTCGGCGGTAAAAAGCGATCTTAAAAAAGATGATCTGCATCACGGGCGGAATGCATCGGACCCTCTCGATCAGGCTCCTGAAGTCCCTCTTCATGATATCCTTCTCCCACAGCCCAGTGTTGTTAATCAATTAAATAAATAATTAAAACACACAGTAGATACAGAACATTCAGACCCCCTTAAATTTTTCACTCTTTGTTATATTGCAGCCATTTGCTAAAATTATTGTTTTTTTTTTGCCTCAATGTACACATAAAAACCCATGTTGACAGAAAAACAGGATTGTTGACATTTCTGGAGATTTTTTTAAAAACTAAAATATCAGATAGTTCCAAGTATTCCGACTCTTTGCTCAGTATTTATAAGCAGCCTTTAGATGTATACAGCCAATCTTTTGGGGAAAGATGCATTTTTTTTTCTCCTGGATTTAAGGATTCTACATCATTACTCCTTGCAGATCCTCTCAAGATCTGTCAGGTTGAATGGTACAGCCATTTTAGGTCTCACCAATTCAATTCAATTCAGCTTTATTTGTATAGCGCTTTTACAATGTAGATTGTGTCAAAGCAGCTTCACATAAATGTCATAGTAACTGGAACAGTGTAGCTCAGTTTTTAGTGTTTAAGTTCAGTTCAGTTCAGTTTAGCTCAGTTCATTGTGATTTAAAATCATTACTGAAAGTTCAAACACTAAAGAGCAAATTCATCGATGCGTAGCTCTACCAATCCTGAACCATGCGAGCCAGTGGCGACAGCGGAGAGGGAAAAAAAACTTCACCTGATAGGAGTGAAGAAAAAAAACCTTGAGAGAACCAGACTCAGTTGGGCACGACCATTTTAATTTCTCCGCTGGCCAAAAGTCTTGTACAGAGCTTCAGTCACGGTGGTGGAGGCTGGAAGATGACCTCAATGAAGACTCGTCTGTCCCTGGAGCGTCGCAGGAATCAGACTCATGTTCTCCACTCCCCATGACCATCAGTGCAGCAGCAGCTCAGGAAATGGCCTGGTCCCGGATATGGAAACCTTGGGATCATCTCACCAGAGATGCTCAATTAGTTTAAAGTCAGGGCATTGGCTGGGCCAAATTAAGAACAGTCATGAAGTTGTTGTGAAGCCACTTCTTTATTTTAGCTGTTTGTTTGGGTCATTGGCTTTTAAAAGGTGAACCTTCGTCCCAGTCTGAGGTCCTGAGCACTCTGAAGAAGGTTTTCGTCCAAGATATCACGGTACTGGGCCACATTTATCTTTCCCCCGATTGCAACCAGTCGCCCTTTCTCTGCAGCTGAAAAACACCACCAAAACATGATGCTGCCACCACCAAGCTTCACTATATTGTACAGGTGATGAGCAGGGCCTGGTTTTCTCCACACATACTGTACCATCTATCTACCAGAGAATCTTTTTTCTCACCATTTTAGCAAACTCCATGTGGATTTTTATGTGTCTTCCACTGAGGAGAGGCTTCTTTCGGGCAATTCTGCCATAGAGCCCCGACTGGTGGAGGGCTGCAGTAATGCTTGACTTTCTACCATCTCAAGGCTGCATCTCTGGAGCTCAGTGATCTTTGGGTTGTTCTTTACCCCTCTCAGCAAAGCCCTTCTTGCCCAATAGCTGTTTGGCACAACGGACAGCTCTTGAAAAGATTCTTCTCCTTTGACCTCATGATTTTCATTTTCTCTGACATTTATTGTGAGCTGTAAGGTCTTAGCCTATTGACCTTATTCTTCGATGCGGAAGTGCGCCTGTTTTGGCGATTGCTTTAGAAGTTTCGATTCAGTTGCCTATAGGGGAAATGACTAGAAAATACAAAGTTGAATAATATAAGAAAATATCAGTTTGCAACCTCTAGCTGCAAAACAAGCTGTTTTTAACATCTAAAATTAATAAAAGTAAATAAGACCAGTAGTCTCGAGCCAAAAAGACCCCAATGGCTGCGCCTGTTTGTACACAAAGAACGAGGAGAATAGACAGATGTGTGGCTTTTTTAAAGTCCAATCAGTATAATCAAGCACAGCAAGACTCAAATGAAGGTGTTGAATCATCTCAATGATGATCAGAAGAAATGGACAGCACCTGAGTTAAAAATATGAGTATCACAGCAAAGGGTCTGAATATTTAGACCATGTGATATTTCAGTTTTTTTTTAGACATAATTTAGTCAATTCTGTGTTTTTCTGTCAATATGGAGTACTGTGTGCATTGTGTACACACAACTTAAATGATTTTAGCAAATGGCTGCAATATACCAGTGTATATGTGTGGGTATGTATGTATGCATGTTTGTTGGCTAGTGTCAGTGTGTGTGTATATACATATATAAATATAATCCAACGCGGAAGAAAGTCACCATGTTTAATTTTGTTTTTATATACACAATTATGCAGTCAAACTGTTGTATAAACGCAATATTACACTCTTAGCAGTGTGATATGACTGTATATCGGCACTGGTGGGGGCACTAAGGCACTCGGCCTGCGGTCTCAACGCACGACGCACCACTGCTACTCGTGATATTGCTCATATATATATATATATATATATATATATATATATATATATATATATATATATATATATATAACACACACACACACACACACAAAATATTGTAATGTCAGATTTTTTCGAAATCACGCAACCTTAATTCAAGTATACAAATATTTGTTAAAATAATTTCCATGACTTTTCCAAAACTTTGGAGAGGGTGCTCACTGCAGAGCCATTTGAGCAGAGCTGAGCTCCAGCGAGGGGGAGCATGAGCTCTCGCTCCTCCTCCTGTAAGCTGTTTTAATGCGTACACCAACCCCACCTCTAACCCTACCTCCAGTGACATCACTCGTAGAAGAAGTGCAAAAAAGGTGGAGCTCAAGCTTAAGCTCCCCCTCTCTGGAGCTCACCTCTCCTCAAATGGCTCTGCAGCGAGCACCACTTGACACCAACCCCACCCCTAACCCTACCTCCAGTGACATCACTTGTAGAATAAGTGCAAAAAAGGTGGAGCTCAAGCTCCCCCTCGCTGGAGCTCAGCTCTCCCAAATGGCTCTGCAGCGAGCACCACTTGAAACTTTGTGGATTTTTCTGTTTTTCCAAAACTTTCCCAGGCCAGGAAATGCTGTCAAAAATTCATGACTTTTCCAGGTTTTCCATGACCATATAAACCCTGACAGATATATGAACAGCGATATATATATATATATATATATATATATATATATATATATATATATATATACATATATATATACATATACACACACACACACATACACACACACATATATACACACATGTTAACCTCAAAATAAATTCTGTAATAATTTTGTAGCTCATAGTTTAGGTGAGAAAATATTTCTTTACTCTTGATGTAAACAAGCTTACTTTAACAAATAATTTGTTTTAAAACAAAAACAGCAGATTAAACAATAGATCAGTCCAATATATGTGGCAAAAACTGAAATTTGTCACAAATGCTTGCAACATCTGGTTCTGACAGTCTCAGAACTAAACTAACATTTTTTTTCTTTTTTAAACACTTTCAAATTAGTTAAAAGTAAATATTTGATCAATTTCAACATCTTTTAATTTACTATGCTCTTAAGTCTAAACTAAAATCCAGTTTAGCATCCTAATATATATATTTTTTAATTAAAGCTTTTAGACTTTTGACTCAGTACTTTCAATGACAAAACTTTCCAATTGTTCAAATACCCATTTCAACAAAAACAAAAAAAGAAACAGAACAACAGCATATGTAGCTTGAAAACAAAAAGATAGTCACACTTTCAAACCAATTTAACTTTTACACATTTGAGATTTTATTTAATTTCATACTTATATTTTAAGATGACAAGAGATGGTCAGTTACCAAAATTGTCCTTTCTCTTATTTAAGCATTTAATATTTGTATGGTAATAGCTTAGAAAAAAAAAAAAAAAAACACCAACCCTACCCAGACTCCCAATTCTCAGAGAGTGAGGAAGAGAAAAAGATCAGAGTGAAGAATTTCAGTGCACAGTGTTCAACCCCAACCAAATAAATTATTTGGAATATGAACACAGACAAGTCACATGTATGCACTTATCACACATGATTCCTTGTATGTGCGCTTCACAGTTTGGTAGAGTTGCCCTTGACATTAGAGGAAGACACACATGGAACTTGTGTGTGCACATTTTTGTATAAAGATGAGAGATTTATTTCTTAAAAGAAAAGAAGTGAAAATTCATAAGTTAAACTCACTTTGATACAGATTTTATGACAAACAAGATGACTAAATCATTGAATGAATGGGACCCATGACAATTTTGACAACATAAATCAGAGTCAACTTTCCACGCGGGTTTTCAAGTTTTTCCCAGGACATCCCTCTAAACTGAGTACTTGTTATGGTTTAGTGAACCTAAACATGACATGAGTGGGAAGAGTAAATAAGATTGTAATGCATTCAAAAACTCAGAAAAAGTGACACGGCCACCAGCCCAAATTTTCCTTAGCGAGAGAGAGCGAGAGAGCGAGAGAGAGAGAGAGAGAGAGAGAGAGAGAGAACATTCAACCATTTAATTCTTGTCCTTCAGTCAATTAATTGCACTGCACACACACAATACTGGTGACGTGGCTTTGCACAGCTATCAGCTGTATCCTTAAAGAAGGTATGGCAGGTGAGTGACTATGTGCTTGGTTATGTGCACAAGAAGTCCAATTGGGAGAACAGGAAGAGGAAGGGTTGTACAGTGAAAAGGTCCATATTCCATCCCATCAGTTGAACAGCAGTTTTGTCCCTCGGCAGCAAATACTTCATGACAGAAGGGTGGATGGAACAAGCGAGCGCATGACTGTCAATACTTTAATGCAGTCCACAGCGATAAAGTCACAACGGCATGGTGTTTTTCTTCATTAAACACACATCCATAGCAGCAGGTGGAGCCTTTAAGACCTCCCTCTGAACAACTAGAAAAAAAAACTCCTTTTCCCATAATCCCCACAGGCAAGTTGTGGAGATGCGATAGTTCTGGGAAGCATGTTCGTTTTCGTCCCAACAGGCCCATCAAACCAACCAAAATTGTTCCCTAGCCTCGTTTTTGCACTTCACCTCTAGTCTCACCCCACACCCCCTCTGACCCCTGTTTTTCAAACTAGGGTTGAGAAGGGGATCATCGCTCAGGTTCAGACTCGAGCGCAAGAACCCGCTTGCGCTCACGGCATTGCTTCTTGTGGGCTGGCCAATCCCTCTGTTGACACTGTGAGCCACAGTAGCGTGCCACCTGACAACGGCCACAGATATTGAACTCCCTCAGCTAGAAAAAAAGAAATGAAAACACAGATTAATTCAATAAATAAACGAGTCATTCGTATAAACAATGTCACACCATGCCAACATAACAAGAACTGCATGCATCTGTTTTTGACTCAGTGTCAGCTGATGTGCTTGTACACACACACACACACACACACACACACACACACACACACACACACACACACACACACACACACACACACACACACACACACACACACACACACACACACACACACACAAGGTTTCATACATATTTTTACTGATAAAATTTCATGACTTTTCCAGAACTTTCAAGTACATTTTCATGTAATGTTTCACGTAATGTCGACATATACATGATAAATAATAAGAAAAACAATGATGTTTAAATTTATTACAGCATATCATAGAACGCGCAACAATCTATTTTGTTTATATTTATGTTTTTATATTTATGTAACATTGATTTTGATAATGCGTACACAGCACTAACAATGTGAAAGCTACTTTTTGGACAAGGACAGAAAAGAAGTAAAGACAACTAACCTATATTCAAGTTAGGGCTGCACAATATATAGTTTTAGCATTGATATCACAATGTGTGTATCCGCAATAGTCACATCGAAGGATTTCCAATGCTGGGATTATAGTTCCATATAAAGTTTAATCATAATGGAGTAAAAGTTTATGATCTGCATGCATTTTAAAGAGATAGATCACCCCAAAAATTACCATTTTCAGTACACCCTTCACATGTTTCAAACATGAGTTCTTTTTTTTTTTTAAATGAACAAAAAATATATAATTTAAAAACTGTTATAATATTTAAACAAGTGAAGTGTGAATAAATAGTGAGTACATTTTAATCTTTGAGTAAACTGTCCCTATAAGGTCTGCGACTGTGACCATTTCAATATTTCAGAGTTTAAAACATCCAGCCACAAGATATTTTTTGTAACTTTAATAAAAATAAAATAATATAAAATGCAGACTACGCAGTGTTGATTATTCAATATCTGTGCCTGAATATTGAATACCTGAAAACTATAATTGACTTTTATCTTTCCTATATTTTATTAATCTATGCTTGTAGTTTATTTGTTATATATTATTCGAGATTCAGTCCCCTAAAAAATCCCCCCAAATAATCCAAACAAGCCTGTTAAATAATCTGGTGAAATTGTTTTCACGTCTTAATATACATCACAGAAATACAAAATATCATAGCAGTGACAACCTCTATTTCAGCCTATGACAATTGTTTTTAATTTTAAAAACAAAACCTTATAAAACGTATTTTCTCTCTTCACCATACTTACCCTCCTTTCAATAAGTGAGCAAGGTGGGTAATGACACTCATAATAGGTGCAGGAGCACTCTTCCTCTTCCACCAGCTCTCCGTTGGCGTTGTAGTAGCGTGTTCGACTTAATTCCAGATACTGTTCTTCAACTGGGTCTGCTGGAACCTGCTGGATGGCCAGCCAATAGAGTGACTGCTCTCTAGGAAAAACATGTAATACAGGTGTAAATACATTTTTAGTGACCTTGTTCATTGTGTAAAACCTATAAGATTCAAGCCATGGAATCTAAATTACCTATGTTTGCTGGAGAGATCTTCTGGTTTGGGACTCCATCCCACAGGAACAAGACGCAAGTTGTCTAGTCGGTTGTCAACTGTAACTGAGTTTATGTGAACTACTTGGAAACTTGGAGCGATTCCACCTCTGTGCTTTTCCCTGTGAAGAAAGAAGCACACCAAAAATGACTGCTAATAAAATAAATGCTTTATTTGGAACCTCTGTTGTCACCAGTGTATGTAATTTGTAATGTTGTATTCTATTTGCGTGCTGTCTCATGCCATTTCTGTTATGGAGAGATGAAAGAATACATGAAAATACAAGAGTACAAGAAAGAAAGGCTTCACATTGAATAATAATAAAGGTGTAGCCTTGAGCAACAAAGGTTGCAATGTATATTTTACATTTAAATTACATGGAAATTGCATGGTATACAATATCTACAATGTAGTTTTGTCAAAAAAAAACTGTACTTTAGCACCAATTTGGTACTAAAGAAAAAAAAAATCAATATGGTAAAAGGTTTTCATGTCATTCAGATGCAGAAACAGCCTAAGCTAACTTTTAAATGCAGCCTAATACACTTAGCAGTAGGGCTGCTAAATTGAATTGAAAAAAAATCTGACATAGCAATATTTTGTATTTCTGTGATGTATATTGCAATATACAGTATTTACAATTTCATAAGATGACTTGAACAGCTCTATTTAGAAATAATTCATTCATTTTTGATGAAGTCACTCTACAGAATCATCCTAAAGAATTAATCAGGCATGTACTATAATAAACAAATTGCAAGATTAGATAAATACAATAGACAAATGTAAAAGTAAAATAAGGAGCACTATGTTATTTTTAGAAAAGTCAAATCGTATTCAGGTACAGAATTTGACAAAATAAAATATATAAAATACTATAAAATAACAGTGCAATGACATTACTGTTTAAACAGTTTACATTTTTTTTTTACGTAAAATATGGTAGAATTTCCACGCCAATAGCATAGTGGTCTGTTTACCATTACAGAACACAATGGTGCCAACCGCAGATTGAGTTTGAATCTTATGTATAGATTTTCTCTCTCTACAACCCATACATTTTTCTGTATATATGATACTATAAGTGCCAGCTTTGTCTTTTCTAGGAAAATCCATCCATATTTGTCATTGTCATGAAGGACTATACATGCATTATCTTATTCCAGAGAATAAGATAATATGTAAATCTATTCATAGCATAAATGTGCAGGTAATAACTTAATTTTCTGTCTTTAATCTTTTGGTGTTACAACTATTAAACTCATTACATCCACCAACGAGCTAATGTGGGGTGACCCCCTCCCTGATTATTATGTTGAAGTTAAATGGCCAGGGATGCCAGAATTTTTAGGATTTATGAGTACGTCAATACATTTCTACAGGTTACATTTGTTTTTTTCTGTTTGCATTATACAACATTATGCATTATATAAATGTTTTTTTTTTTAGGACAACAGTATCTCCAGGAAAAAAAAGATATCCAAAGCTGTCTTATAAACTGTAAAAAAAAAAAAAAAAAAATCTGTGTTTTTGAAACTAATGAAGACAACAGAAGTCAGTGATTCATTTGAATTATTTTGCCTGACATGTTTACTGCTTCAAATATTTTAAATCTTTAACAAAATAAGAAGCACAAGGTTCAATACAATCAAATATGTATGTTTTGGGAGGCCCCATTACTCAATTATCTTAGAAATGCAAGGCTGTGTTTTCACAAGACTCTTAAGACTAGTTCAAATTAGCTGATTAGTTAACACTACTAACAGACAAGTAGCAAATTAGTCATGAAGAGACTGATCACGCAATAGTATTTAAAATAAACTTAATATTGTAATTCAAAATATAATCAAGTGCACGGATGTTTGAAAAAAACAGATTTCAAAGACTTTTCTAAAAACATAATGGGTTTGTTTGTTTTTCCAAAACTTTTTCTGGCGTGGAAAATGCCATGTCAAAATTCCATGATTTTTGCAGGTTTTCCATGACCGCCTCCAGCAATAACCTTTTAAACTAAAACAAAAGCCATACATTTTTAAGTCTTAATTTCATGTAAAATATTAGATACTGTGTGCAAATGTGGATTGCTCAAAATATACATTCTAGCAGTAGCTTTAGCAGTACACTTACCAGAGTAACTCATGCAGTGGTCGACCAGCCCATCGACCCTTGCCAATATCAAAGGCATAGGCAAAGATTTTTGCCCCATTGCCATCGGCGTCAACTTCCATACGTGCCTGAAATTAAAAGGATTTAGATAATCAGTTTCATATGACTAAACAATAGTGCTCAAAGAGCCTGCTAGTAATAAAGTAAATTATTTGGTCAGTTGACAAGGATGGTCAAATATATATACTGACAAAACAATAAAAAGGACATAACCCAGAATAAAAAAATAAATCCAAAAACAAAAGCCAAACTCAAAGCAAACATCTATTTTTAAAAATAAACATACAAAAAAAAATAAACATACAAATAAAAAACATAATGGTTCTTACCTCAAAGGCATAGTTTTCCACTAATGGTATGTCTTGTTCATCAATCAAAGTGTACTTTGTCTGAAAAAGCAAAATATATGTAGTAAGTGCATTAGGACAATAATCCAAAAGATATATTAGCAGCAGAAGACAACAACGGGTGCCTCTCCTGTCAGCTAAGAACCTGAGGAAACTGAGGCCACAATTCGCACAGGCTCACCAAAATTGGACAATAGAAGATTAGAAAAACGTTGTCTGGTTTGATGAGTCTCGATTTGTGTTGTGACATTCGGATGGTCAGAATTTGGCATTAACAAGATGAAAGCGTGGATCCATCCTGCCTCATACCAATGGTTCAGGCTGGTAGTGTAATGGTGTGGGGGATAATTTCTTGGCACACGTTGGCCCTATTTGTACCATTTGATTTTATTGTTGCTGACCATGTCCATCCCATTACCGGCACAGTGTATCCACACCAAAATTCATCCTGCCATGGCTACATAACTTCTTAATCAAAACATTCAGTCATTGTTGTTATTTTTTTAATAGCGGGTTATAAATCGCACCAAAATGTATTAAAAGGTAATTTTCTTGGTCTGATGAGTGCAAATTTGAGATCTTTGATTTCAACTACCGGGTCTTGGTGTGGCGGAGAAAAGGTAAACAGATAGACTCTACATGCCTGGTTCCCACCGTGAAGCATGGAGGAGGTGTGATGGTATGGGGGTGCTTTGCTGGTGCGACGGTTGGGGATTTATTCAAAATTAAAGGCATACAGAACCAGCATGGCTACCACAGCATCTTGCAGTGGCATTCTGTACAATGCCGTTTGCGGGTGCCCTTTCACCGCAACTCATTACTGGGAAACATCCATACACACTCATTCACACACTCCAAGGTTTTAGCTACATTTAATCTTCCATGGCGGGGCGCCACACCAAAATTCATCACTTCACCGCTACATTACAGCTTCTCAATCAAAACATTCAGTCATTGTTGTTGTTTTTTTAATAGCGGTTTATAGTCGCACCAAAGATAAGTAAAAAACACCGTGAACTTTTCTAAACTTCTTGCAAGCCCCCTCAAATAAACGCAGCTGAAGTGCGATTTAGTGTGTTTTTGAAGTGAGTATGAACTATTTCTACTTTTGTCATAATAAAATAATGTCATAGGTAATTGGTAAATTTGTGTAAAAGGCCTGGCACCACAGTAAGAAAATATCTTTAAGGAAACGCTGCACTCAAACACTACGGTCAATTTTAGCATACCCAATTCACCTGTACCAGATGTCTGTGAACTTGTGGGGGGAACTGGAGCACCCGGAGGAAACCCACGCAAACACGGGGAGAACAAGCAAACTCCACACAGGAACGGCAACTGACCCAGCCGAGGCTCAAACCAGTGACCTTCTTACTGTGAACGTGCTATGCCATCGTGTCACCATATATATATATATATATATATATGTTTTTTTTTTTATATATATATTTATAGCGCTAATATAAATTATATAATAAATATATAAATTAGCGCTTTAACGCACTCGAGTAACGTGTAAAATAACAATGCAAATAAGGCAGTTTCAGTTTATTTTTTTATTTCCTGTTGTGGCTGACGTGTTCAGGGACGGCGCGTGCATAGAGGTGACCTAGGCAGCCGCCTTGGGCTGCAGAATAGTGAGCAAACCTCCCAGTCTTTACTTTCATCCGCTACACCCACCCTCTCCCTCACGGTCCTCACTTTCATCAGCAAACCGGTCACTTTCTTTTTCACTTTCGGGTTGAGGGCAGCATCAATTGCCGTTTGCCTATAGGACCAGTTCAGCTTACTCTGGCCCTGCGTGTGTTTAACATGCAAAGAAATTTGGATAAGACCAAGGACATGGTTTTAGAAGGAAAGTTTCAGTATAAAACAATTAATGTCGCATCACCAGGCTATTCTGCATTTCCTCCAGAGTTTCATGCAATTTCGGTTGTTTCATTTTTAATCTTTCAACTTTAACTGCAGTTCAGCAGTTCACTTTCATTCAACATATTTTCATTCAGGATGTTTTAATGGAATTTGATACCTAATGGAAAACGAAAAAGAAAAACTTCTGCATTTCAGGACTTGCATGATCCTTTAAGGTAGGGCTGGGCAATAAGGCAAAAAAAAAAAAAAAAAATCTAGGTTTTTTTATAAAGTTTGACCGATTCATGATATTGATTTTTTTTAATTGTGCAAATAGTCAACTTAAAACATTACAACAGCATGACTAATGTAACATTTTCTTTATAAGTAACTTGAAAAACCATCTGGTTAAGGAACATTGTATTTTTAATGGCCATGTCACACATAAATTGGTCAACAAGGTGTAAATAAATGTTAAACAAAGTCACAAGTTAAATATTTTTGCAGAAGATTTGAGTAAAAAATATGTGTGTAAAAATTGCAGCAGCAGGAATACATAGGTATTTTTTGCAAGTTTTGCTGAGCCTAGGAAAGATTGGCTGTCAGCTCGGTTTTGACTTTGTCTTCTGATTGAATGACCGGTTGTAATGCTGCTGTCTTTTATAGAAGTAAAGGACTGAACATGGATACTTTAAAGCCTAATTTAACCTAATGTGTGAAGTTGTGGACGTATAGCAGGAGCAAATACAAGCACCAGATGTGTGTCTAATATAAAATAATATATTTATTCTATTTTTATTTTTTCCCCCTTTTAAATATCGATAATTTGATGCGCTTTGCACCACTCTCTGTATAATGCTGCCTGATCCGTCTGGTTTTCAACTGGGTCCGCTAAATGACATCATGGGTACTTTCATTTTCACTGCTACAGCTGCTCACCTCTGCTCGTGTTCAAACCAAAAGATCAGCGCAGTTCGAACTAAGATCGGCGGGGTTTTTCACATGGCAGGTTTTTACGTCTTTCATACATGTTGAGATCGAGATTATCAACTTGATGAGGGAATATGTCTCGACAATCCACACAGATGTGACTTAGTAAAGCGTAAAGTCATGAAGGATTTTACTTGGATTAGTCTGAATGTAAATACCCTCGTAGTGCTGGAGTGGCATGAGAGTGGACCAAATAGTGTTTGATGCAAAAATATTAATAAAAGAAAAGTACACGTCTTAAGACACTTAAATGCTTGTATTTGTAGTATTTGCCTCTGTAGTCTCTGTGTTCAGTCCGTCACTACCATGAAACCCAGACAGGCAGTTAAACAGGTCGCACACCAAAAGCTCCGCTATTACACACCAGACGCACACATTTGCATGATATTTAACATAAAACTAATCAGATGGTACTCTGTGTTGCGCGGCTGAAATATGAACTGCTTCCTGAATCGGGGCTGGGCGGCGCCGGTGTGTGTATAGAAACCTATGTTTTGAATTCTAAAATTCATGGCGCTGAGTGGCGATTCTGGTGTGCAACCTGCATCATACAGAGAGTGAACCAAAGCACATTGGTGACATTATATTTTAAATACTATAAATATTTTATATATTATATATATTTTATATATATTATTTTTTTATATATTTTAAATATTTTTATAAAAAATAAGTGTGATTTCTTGATTTAATATTAAATTAAACCATCGTCAAAACTGATTGGAATTCGTCTGAAAAAAATAAAATAAAATAAATAATTGCCCAGCCCTATTTTAAGGTAATAATAAAAAAAATTTGTTAAACAAATTGCTGCTTACATGGTAGACTCTTAAAGGCCCATGACAACCCCCACTTTCGGCAGGGGAGCCAGCAGGGGAGAACGTGAGCGAAGCTAGCTCACAAAATGAGACAAACCGTGAGGAGACGCAGAAATTTATAGTTTACAAAGTTAAAATGCAAAGAAATGAACAGTGATTTAATGCCCAGCTATATTTGTTATTCGTAATTTCATATACATACATATAAAGATAAGTGTGTTCATGTAAACCCTATAAATGAGGACTTCTCCCTCAATCCCCGTATCCAGCAGACTCAGTGCAGCAGGTCTGACCTGTCTATTTTAACCGTTAGCCCTGCTGGTAATCTGGAGGATTTAGGCAAACACAGCAGCACAGTGATGTGTCTGAATGTGAACGAACTCCTGATAAAAGACAGCGTCCGCCATTCTCTAATTCTCGTGCTGCTCTCCCGACAAAAATGCTAGCAGCACACACACATCTTTGCTGTATGATCGGCCCTGACAAGATCGCAGGGGAAAACATGCAACAAACCCCGTGGATCATGGAAACAAACGCATATGAGCCTTCATGAACGGCTAAATACTGTGTGCCCGGGCCGTGGGTCCGTGACGTGTCTCACAGCTCGGGCTTGACTCTGGTAGGTCTGATGAATAATTAAGCAGCCGGCTCTTCTCATAGGACAAGAAAACTCCGCTATGAATAATAATGAGAAACCGACGCGTCATCATTGCACTTGCAGTTCTGCGCTACGTCGCAGATTTTGATCCCTCCCCAAAAATCATTTTAAACCCGGAAGCTGAAATTAGCGTACAAAAGCTCAAAATTATCCAGTTTTCCCCACAATTAAACCTGACAGGTGCTAACATCGTCTTAACTGATGCTCAACACACACAAATCTGTTAATATAAAAAAAAAAGTTCTCCAGGGTGTCCTGAACCTTTAATCAGTATTAGCTTAATCATAGTATTGGTGTCCATGTAAATATACTTAGTGAAAGAGGCAGATGAAGTCGCAAGCCCTATTCTCTGCCTTTAAGCTGCTTCCATAAGCCCTCACATTTCATAAGTTTGACGTGTTTCCTCCCTACACGCAACTTTTGTAAAGCGTCTGCTTCACGTTGCTGTGTCAGAATCCTTGCTTGTAAAATACAGGCATACTTTAGAACGCTTAGTTTAAGCAAATTTGATGAACGCCATTGTGCTTGTTGCTGAATTTGATAAACGCGATTGTGATTTGTAATCATGATTAATCTAAAGGAATTCCTCACTTACCGGGTCACTTAAAATCCAACATGGAAATCATTTTTGTTTGTTATTGGCATTGATTGTTTTGAAATTCAAATGGCACTTAAATGCCTGTGTTTTTAATTCTGTAATAAATATGGCGTTTCGTGCTTAGCTT